GAGAAGTCGCGCCCCCAAAAGAAGTCTCCACACAAAGAAAAGAAATCATTGTAATTAGCGTTCTGAGACCCTTCTGGGCGGGGGCCTAATCCAGACCGCGTGCAGCTGGGGTCGGGGTAGGGAGATGGGGGGCGCCGGGGCCTCCCGAGCGAGGCCTCAGAGCGCGGGCGCCTCCTCCCGAGGCCCCACCGCGGACGCGCAGGCGCCGCGGAGCCGCAGGGCAGGTGGGCGAGCTGGTCCTCCAGCCCGCGGCAGGTGTCTTCATCCTCGCTCGTCCGCGGTTCCAGGTGCGCCCGTGGGAGCCGAGCACGTGGCTCCCTCCGCGTCAGCGTCCTCCTTGTTCAAATGGTTTTCTCTGTCTCCACCTTCCTATCGAGAGTGGTCGAGACACCTCTGTCCCACCTCGGGGACGTGGGACGCCCTTCGCGTTTCTGGATAGACGGGTCCCCATCGCTCTAACCCGTGTCCCGAGCAGAGAGGGAGACTCAGGGGCAGGGAGACCCCGCTCATGGTCAATGCGGGGGCGGCGGGGCGGGGACACCTCCTGGGCGGGTCACACGCACCCAGCCTCTCTCTCGGCTGTGCAGACAGAGTCCCTGTTTGGGCCCCGCTGTCTGGCGCTTTCGCGTGAGTCTCCTCAAGGCCGTCGGGGTCCAGAGAAGACAAAAATAATCACCAGGTCTATGTCCCGATGCACTGAGCAGGGCTCGTGCGGGGCGGGGGAAGCAGAGCAAGGAGGGGACAGAGCCCTGGGGCTGAGCCTCACCTCCCTGCCACCTGTCCCGGGGCTGGGCCTGCTGCTAAGCGGATGAAGTGAGACTGTGGGCGAAGTGGTCCCCTTGGGAAAACACACTTAGCTGTAGCCGCCTCCGCCCACCACAGCTCCAGCGCCCTCCGGCGGCCCAGAAGGCTCATGCCGGGTGGATGCCTGCCCACCGGGCCGGGGACAACAATGACACAGATTTGGACCAGTGCTACCTGGTGCTCAGATAGGGCTTTGTACACCCACAGGGGCCTCGCCTGGATGCTCTGCAGTGGGTGGATGGATGGACTGGAGGAAGGAAGGGAGGGAGGGAGGGAGGAAGAGAATAGATGGATGGATGGATAGATGGATGGATGGATGGATGGATGGGCGGTGGGTGGGTGGATGGATTGATGGACGGTGGTCGTATGTGTGGATGGACTGACGAAGGGGCGCCCCGATCCCTCTCTCTTGGACGGAGCCATGCAGGTGTCTGTTGCAGGTGGGCCGCAGCCAGGCCCTGGAGAGGAAAGCGGAGACACGGAGCAGACGGACACCGATGGGGAGCTGGACGCGGCGGCCCAGGCCCGGCCCCTTGGCAGCAGAGTAAGTCTTCCTCAGACACACAGCCCCGCGCCCCACGCCAGCTGCAGCCTTGGGGTCTGATGGACTGAAAACCTCGGCACGTGTGATGCCTACAGTGCAGCACGAAGACTGCCACACCCAGAAGGTCTCCGGGGCCACTGAGCATGAGGAAGGAGCTGCCCTCCGCGTATGCTCACCCTAAGAAACCCGAAGCGAGCTGCGGGATGTGTGGGGCCTGCAGAGAAGCCCGGCCGGACCTCCAGCCGGAGGCCCGGGGCTCGGTCTGGAGGGCAGGCTGCGTCCCAGGCAGGCGGCCTTGGCACCTTCAGGGAGGCAACCCCCCCGGCCCTCCCCTCTGCCAGCTGTTCTGTTTCTTTACAGCAAACCCCGAGCCTGGTTTTGACTGGCGTTTGTTTCTGTTTTCACGCATCGTTTGACTTACTTTTAGTGATCGTGACAAGCCAGGTCACCCCCGCGTTTCCGGGTGGGAAGATGGAGGGGGTGGGGCGGGCGACGATGAGTGTAGATGACCCCACTTGGAGAGTGAGGGGTCTGAGGGGCAGCACCGTGGGGAACACACACGTCTTTCTATGACGAATGTATTTGTGCCACTTGCTAAGCTCACAGAACACTCTCCAGGGTCGACTGTTACCCACACGACACATTTAAAGAACCAAAATCTCCGTGAGGGAGGGATGTAGAACTAAGCTTCTGCTCTCGCATCTGAGGTCTCCCCCCAGCCTCCACCCCCCACAGCAGGCACCCCTTCCTTGCCCAGAACCCCAAAGGCAAGAAGCCTGCCTGCCCCCAAGGCTACCCCCGCCAGGGCCTGTGTCCTCAGCACTTTTGAGCAGCTGTGTGTGCATCGGGGGCTTCTGCTCATCCAAGTGAGGGGTGCGGGGCGTGAAGACCCTGTGATGGGCACGGTGGGCTCTGGCGCCCCCTCTGTGTGGCCTCCGAGCTTGTTCTGGTTTCTTTCTGGCGCGGGAGGTGGGTGTGCCCGGGGGGGCGCCCAGCCCCTACCCGGTGGGAGCGTCTGGCCCGCCCTGTCCCGCTGACTCTGCCTCTCCTCGCCCAGTCTGTGCCAGCCGAGAAGAAGCGCCTCCTGCTCGTCCACAGCCTGGACTTCGACGCTGACTCCGATGACTCCAGTCCACCTGGCAGTCACCCCCCAAGCCTGCAGGTGAGCGGGCTCTCACTTCTGTGCCACCCCTCCCGGATAACCGGGGCGCCAGGCCGGGGACAGGGCTGGCCGTGTAGCGTACCAGGCACCAGGGCACGCTGGGCAGGGGGGGCAGCTGGAGGAGGGGGACACAGGGCCCAGAAACTTCACACCCTCCCAGGGGCAGAATCTCCAGGGAGATGGGGTGCAGGGCAGCGGAGTTAGGGGCCCGGGGTATTCGGGGTGTGTGCTTGTCCCCAGGATAAGACAGAAACTGTGGCTCGGGGGACAGGATGCAAGCACCGCCTGTCCGGCTCAGACTGGGCCCGACGCGGGCCTGGACACCCGTCTCGTAGGTGGGTCACGTGCTTTCTTCCCCAAAGTAGGATGGTCTTGTGGGTGCGAGAGGCTGCCATTCACACATATGGGGCCCTTCCAGGAGCCAGGACACGGGGTCACTCTCCTCCTTAGCTGTGTGACCTCGGTCTGCGGCTCTGTCCCCCCACACCCAGAGAGGGGTGGTTCCCTCCACCCCACGGTCCATTTCAGGACGAGAGGCTGCGCCTGGCACACGCGGGGCAGGCACGCAGCAAAGGGCAGGACCCCAGAACTTGGGGGGTCCCCTGGGCTCAGGCAGTGCCGGGCCAGACCCAGGGCAGGGCTCGCTCTGCCCAGGCTGATCTGCAGACCTCTGTCTGAGGAGGGGACTAGGGGCCGGAATCCAGCACCGAGACGCCTTCGAGCCACCACGCGGCTTCCGCTGCAGTTCTGGCGTCTGCGGTCACCGTTCCCTATCGCCCCCGTGGCCTGGGGACCGCCTCCTTCCGGCCCCCAGGCTCCAGCACAGCTGCGCTGGAAAGGAGAGGGGCGTGTGGCTTCCTGAAGCCCTCAGCACCCCGTGTCCCGGGGGATGATGGCACAAGCGAGGGGCTCTCTGCGGGCCAGGGGGAGGCCGGGGAGGTGTGTGGGGTGCATCCAAGGGGCTGCCCCACCCCCTTGCCTCTCTAGCCTTCAGGGATTAAGACACACACAGAACAATGCACCCCCCTAAAAATGACTTCCCACCCCCTTTCTCGGAGCTTCGGTCTGTGGGTGGGTGTGAGCCCCAAGGCTGTCAGAAGTATTTCGGTCCCCTTGCGTGATGGGTGGTGGCTTCAGCACCGTTTTGAAGTCAAAGGGGGCTGAGTCGCAGGGTGCTGGGGAGGGCGGGAGTCTAGGGTTCCGTCAGCGAGAGGACAGCTGGAAACCCTCAGGACGCGCCTGAGCTGTCCTCCCCAGTAACCCTCCCGCTCAGGGCCTCGCAGGTGAGCCGGCCGCGGAGGAGGCCGGTGCCAGGGCCGCTGGGCGCCACCCCCATGCTGAAGAGCGGACGGACGGCGGAGTCCCGGCCGGTCGGGCCGCCCTCAACGAGCTCCGCCCGCCTGGACAGCCCTGCGCGGTGGCCCTGGGCGTCGCAGCCACACCTGGTAGGTGCCCCGGGCTCTGCGTGGCGGAGGGGCTGCGGGAAGGCCTGCCCAACACCCGATGTGGGCGGGCGCGCGGGCGGATTCGAAGCGGCTGCTTCCTGTATGCGACTGACCAGTGTGCTCAGTCCTGGCAAATGCCACCGACGTCTGCTCCCCCTGGGCCAGGGGCTCCCCAGCAGTGCTCAGAAATGCCAGTATGGACGCCCGACCTGGCCACACGGCTCACTGTCCCCTCTTAGAGAGGACGTTGGTGCAGGGGAGAGGCCCTGAGGGCAGAGTTCCCTGAAATGACCTGAACCAATGGTCACCAGATCGACCATGCTGACGAGGACCGGGCCGCTCTACACCTGAGGCCCGAGGGCGCGCCTGGGCACCGAGGCGCAGGTCCTGTCTGGGCAGCGCCTGCCCTGGTGCACTGTGGGCTCCCAGCTGTGAGTCAGGCGGGAGGCCATTAAGTGCGGAAACCCGATTTGCTCAGTTTACTGTTGTTGTGAGACACTTTGCTTCATAATGAAATCTGAGCCGCTGTCGCTTCCTGTGCCCCGTGGGAGTGTGCGCCCTGGGCTCGGGCCAAGCACCCTCCTGACGTCTGAGCAGATAATCACAGCACAGGCACCTTCCCGCCAACGTGCCCCACAGGCCGCGGTGTGGGCCGGCGGCCCCGAGATGTGGTCAGGACACCGTCTGCCAGGAAGCGTGTCCGCGTCCTGTGGTCCATTTTCATTACATTATCGAGCCCGTAATCTCATGATCCTCATGCCGATTAGGGTCCTGGAGGCATGTGAGGGGTGGGGAGGCGGGCTTTACCTTTCCCCCGAAACAGCGAGTAAGTGAATCTACATTGACCGAGTCGAGCCGGAGGATGCGGACTTGGGCTCACTCGCTTCCTCCCAGGTTCCGCAATCGGCCAAGCTGTGGACGTGGGGAGGGGGCCT